AGCTCAACTGCTTTTCCCACTTCTGCATGGCTTCTTGGAAGCATTTACCACATAATGGTCACAGGGGTCTTTCAAAATGTGCAATACTCCCATGCTTAAGACTGACATCAGAGCTGCAGAGACAGCTCAGGGATTAAGGATGCTTACTGCTCTTCCAGGGGACAGAATTCAGTTCCCAGCACCTACATTGGGTGGCTTAAAACTGCCTGTAACTTCAGCCTCTGGGATTTCACACCTTCTTCTGGCCTCCTTGAGCACTTGAACATGTGACATACACACACAAATAAAAATATACCTTTAAAAAACACACTAAACTTTAACCTTTTGTAGAGGATGAGTAGAACAAGAGAGCGCAAACTCTGGAAGGAATTTTATTCATGTATAAAGTGTGTGAATGTGCTTCATTCAGAAACGGCTGCTGGGTCCCTGGAGCTGGAGTACAGAGGTTGTGAGCAGCCGTATGTGGTGCTGGGAACCACTTTCAGGCTTTCAAAGAGCACTGATGCCTCTTAAGTTGGGAATCAGTTTTCTAGCCTTTGTTTGCTTTGTCTCCAGTCAGGCTCTCACTTTGTAGGTCTGGCTGGCCTCAGACTTGCAGGAATCCCCACCTTGGCTTCTTTAGTACTGAGACTACAAGCACAACTCACCACTCCAAACCATTATGTGTACAAACTATATGGGTCCTGGCTGGAACATAGTAGGAAATTATAGTAAACATTTATGGGATGAATGCTAGGTTTTTTGTTTGTTTTGAAATAAGGGCTCATTCTATTTTCCCAGGCTGCTCTGGACCTCACAGGATCCTCTTGTCTCAACCTCCCAAGGGTTAGGATTATAGGTGTGTGCCACCACACCCAGCTATAGGAGTTTGTACCATTGAGTGCTGATTAATTGGCTAAGAGAATTTAAGATAGTGTGTTCCCTAGGAAGCCTCCAATCAGCTGTTAGGGTCTGCAGAGCTGTTTTCAAAAGTGTGGGGACCAAAGCTGGTTGAGAACGGCTGAGAACAATGCCTACAGACTCGTGAATCAGAACAAAGGCTCAGGGAATAAAGAAAAGAAAAAGGGAGGGCTCAGCTGAGGGATTTCCCCTGTCTAACCACAACTTCCCCCCACAGATCCCACTTCCGGGTCCTCAGAGCCCTGTCACCTCAGAACTCACCCAACTGGCTAACTCTTTCTATTTTGAGCCACATTTGATTTTATCTTATTCTGTTTCTTCTTTTTGCAGTGTTGGAGTTGAACACAGGAGCTCACAAGTGCTCTAGTACGGATGGGGCTATGCTCCCAGTCGTGATTTAAAGTTTTCTAAAACTACATTTATTTATTGTGTGTATGTAGACAAGCAAACAGGCATGAGGCATGGTATGGGTATAGAGGGCATAGGACAGCTTGCAACTGTCTTCTTCCACATTTGGGTCCTGGGGTTGAAATCAGGTCAGTTAGTTTTGTCACCAAGCACCTCCCACCACAGAACATCTTGTTGGTCCATCATTTCCATTTTGCTGCTGGTTTTTGTTTGTTTGTTTGGTTTGATTTTGGTTTTGGTTGAGAACAGGGTTTCTCTGTGTAACTCTGGCTGTCTGGAAACTTGGTCTATACACTGGCTGGCCTTGAACTCAGAGGTCGCCTGCCTTTGCCTCCCGAGTGCTGGGATTCTTTGCTATTATTTTTGTTTAGATACAGGAATTCATGTCTCCCTGAAGATGGCCTTGAAGTCATGATCCTCCTGCCTCCAATTCTCTGGTTCCTGAGGTGCTGGGGATCAAACCCAGAGCTTTGTGCCTGTGAGGGGGCATTCAACCCATGGAGCTTCAGCCTCAGCCCTGTTTCATCCCCCCCCCCCCCCCCTTTGCCCCCCCCCCCCCCCGCCCCATTTACTGTCTTTACTTCACAATGTCCAGACTGCCCTTAGGTGGTATAGATTTAGAGCTGGTGGTATGCTGCTTTGACAGCTCCCAGCATGCCTCTACCTTCTGGACTTTTTTGTCTCATCAGTGCATGAGTAATCTTTCCAGGGTTTTGCTTTATGATGCTCCCACCCAGCTCAGTCAACTGATGATGGCTGTGTTGCCTATGCCAGAATGAATTGTCTCTCTGGGTTCTGGCCTGAGTGAGCAGGTCGCTAAGAAGCTGCCTTCCTGAGGAGTGCAGAGTCCTGGCCAGGGTGCCCTGTCTCAGGTGCACCCATGATTCCCAAGCCACCTATGCTTCTCTAGCTTTATTTGCTCACGGGAACTACAGTGCCCGACATTTCCCAGCCTTCACCCATGTCTCTATCTAATGTCCAAATTACAATTCTGTGACCTCCTCTTCAAGTAGCAGCTGGGATCTCTGAAGAATGTTTTGAAGTCCCAGAAAACTATGCATATGACTCCGCTGTCACATGGTCAGCTGTCCCAACCCAGACCTTTCTACTCTCAGTTGACTCAGCTTGCTTTTTTTTTGAAAATGGCTTCTACAGGCTGTAGCGATTTTCCAGGGCCTCAGGCATGTTCCCAGGCTTCATATCTCACCCCACACTGCACAACTAAATCCAGGTCCTGACAGTTCAAAAACTTCAATAAATGCTTCAGAGATAACTGGAGGGACTGAGCAGAAAGAGAGCTTAACATGGCATGTAAACTGTAGCAGACTCAAGGGCTGATACGCTACAGAGGGGCTCTGTGTCTGTGCCCCCTGCCCCGAGGGACCCTACCTCACCCCACACACTCAACCAGGTCACTCTAAGGATCAGCTTCTCTTTGTCAGCCTGGACATGGGGATTTACTGAGTGTCTTTCCAAGGCCAGATGCTGTGTTAGGCACTGGGATGAAAGAGTCTATGAAGGAGACACCACAGTACATGAAGGAGCACCTGCTCTGGTGCTGCACACCTGGAAGCCCAGTGTTCTGGAGGCAGAGAGAGGAAGACTACAAGCTTGGAGACCAGCTTGGTCTATGTAGTGAATTCCAAGACTCTTCCTCAAACAAACAAACTCTTCACATATAAAACAAACAAACATATTAATATAAAAACACAACTAAACCAAGGTCCTGGTTTTTTTGTTTTGTTTTTGTTTTCTGAGACAGTTTCTCTCTCTCTCTCTCTCTCTCTCTCTCTCTCTCTCTCTCTCTCTCTCTCTCTCTCTCTCTCTCTCTCTCT